AATTTACTAATTAAGTTGCATCTTGCAGAGGGGGTGGGCTGGTTATGTCAATTTAATCTTTTTGGGAAGATGAATGTTCAGGAAGTAATTCATTAAATGCTTGCTGAGAGCCATAAAGAGAAAGGAAGCAACAGCCTGCTTTTAAGAGAAAAGAGAAACTTTTATGACAAGCCAAAAAAAGCAAGAAAAAAAGGGAAAACATGCAATAGGCAAAAAAACAAAGAAGGCAGAAAGGACCCTCCCAATAACTACAAAAGGTCACGCCTGAGTTCTTACGTTGCACAAAATGGTGGTTGGCTCAATTATGGATTGTGGAGAAGCTACAATATACTAATTCATAAATTGTGGTATATAAAACAGTAATATGCTAACATGGCAGGCCCCGACATTTTGTGTGCCAGGGACCAGTTCCGTAGAGGCAGTTTTTCCATGGAGGGAGGGGAAGCATGGTTTTCTGTGCTGCCTGGATCCCATGCATGCATGGATGGGGCTTCGCTCACTTGCACAGCCTGATTCCTGGCAGACCGCAGGTTGGTGTTGGTCTATGGCCCGGGAGTTGGAGACACCTGTCAGTTAACAGAATATCTGGTGGTTCTGTGTGATATATGAATCTAACAAAATGGCAGTGCTTTACTGGGCAAGTTGAGCATGAAAAAATAATAGGCAACACCAAAAATCATGGACTTTCCTTCATGCTCTGCTCTTAATGTGGCTCTGCTCTTATTGTGGACATTTCTTGGATAGTGACGGTGGTAAATGTCACCAGTAAGGAAAAGATCTTCAGAGATTTTCCTGTCACTTTTGTTTCCATATGGAGACAGCTTTTGAACGTTGTGCTTGAAGTGGAAAAGAATGAAACTTTGATTTTGGGTTTTACCAATTAGATTGATAAATCCTTATAGAACTGGCTAGTTTATATTATTATGAAAAAACAAAAAAGTTGTGGTTTGATGTTAATGCCGTATTTTACTACAACAGAGAGTCAGAAGTCAATGCTTCTATTTCTTTTTCCAAATCCTTCCTCATTTCTCTTCCTCCCTCTCCCTCACTGCTTTCCTATTTACTTTTGTATTTTGTATCTTATTTTATCTTATAACTAAATAAAAATGTTAAACAATTTTTAAAAATCCTGTCTCCATCTGTAAAAGGAGAATTGTTTTGCTCTTCTATTCTTTGCACATGTCTATGGAGATTCTCGGTCATCCGGATCATGGTTGTCCCAATGGCATTTTTTTCAAAAGGCAACTGGACTTTCTTTGTTTTTCTTGAAGGCATTTCACTTCTCATTCAGAAGCTGCTTCAGTTCTGGTAAGTATAAGAACACCTACTGGTAAGAACAATAAGTCTCCAATTACCTTTTACATTAGTCAACAATTTTGGATGACCTGCTGTACACAGTTGAATTGCTCACACTGTCTCAGAATGTGGTTAGCTTGTTTTAGGCTTTGTGTGATATGTAAATGGGACCAATTTAAAAAAGCATTATTTGTGGGCTGTAAATTACATCTAGAAGCCATGATTTGCAATTGTGTATTAATGGCAGCTCTGTATTAGCATGATGTGTGAATAGATATGAATGGTTTATTTGTGATTGGATCAAGCTCTTTCACAAGTTGTAGGACACAGTCAGGAGTTTCTTTTATAAAATTATGCAACTGTAGGGTCTGTGTTAGGAAACCACCTGGAAAAACGATGTCTGGCACTGCACAATTGGTGGAAGATAGGTTGCAAGCGTAGGAAGCAAGCGGTCAAGCTAACCTTGCGATACAGCAACAGTGTATGATTTCATCATTTTTATTGCTGGAAATTATTATTCTCTAGCCCAGTCAAGGTTGATGAAGAGAGAAGCAGAAGGTAAACATCTTTAGGGACCAAGGCTGCTTATTAGATTCAGAGTTTAGGAGGCTGAAATTTCTCCTTGGCAGATGTAGGAAGCACCAATACCCTTTCTGATGCTGAGTTCCTTCATTTTTGTAATTAAAGCCTCATTTGAAGAGCTCCTGCTGTTTCTCTCTTCTTCTGGAAATGCTGACAGAGGCTTCTCTGAAAAACTGTGACAATATTTCTAACACCTCTGCATTTGTTGTTACTGTTGTTTTTACATATATCAAGTGACAACAAATAACAGCATCTCCTTTTAAATTGCAAATCCATTAAGCAGAAGGAACAAAAAGTCCTTGAATGGCTTTTCTTCAAGTTTATAAGGTCACTGCTGGGGATAGTAATTCTCTTCTGTGGTTCTCCTTCATGGAGATAGGAAATTACTTGCCTGGATTCATTAAAAGTAAAAAAATAATAATAAAGGCAGAAGGAGATTCGTGAATAAATGTTAACAATTGTCCTCTGATCATACCAATGACATCAAATGTTCTTTTTCACTGGTACTTCTGTTAAATGTAGAAAGGATGCAAGAACCCATCCAACTGTTTCATGAAAAGACAGGAAATGAGTGGAAAATAGGATCCTTAATAAAATTTCAATGACTCAGCAAAAATGCCCAGAAATAATATTTGCAGTTTGTTCTCAAAAATTAAATATTAGCAAGAAATGTCACATGCATTGATTCTTCAGCATTAACACTCCTTTAAGGTTTGCTGCAACTTTTAAAGCATATAATACTAGCATAAAGCATAAACAGACTCCAATGTTTCTTTCAACAGTCATGGCCACCACAGTTAATAAGGTCAACTGCTTGGAATTGATGGTTCATCAACTAGCCACCGTTTGTTTGTAGTACAAGATGTGTAATCAGTGAGCAATCAGTAATAGAGTAGAAAGCATTGGACCAGAAGCAGGAAGATCCAGATTCAAATCTACATTTGACTAGAACTTCATTGGGTGACCTTAGCCCATTACCCTTTCTCAAACTTAGTAAAATCATGGGAAGCATAGCCCGTAAGAAGGAAGAGGTTCTATTTAATGCAATTTTCTTAAAGAAAGATGAAATATATAGAAATAGAAATATTGAAATGTAGATGAAATATAGAAATCAGTTATAAGTGTTATATCCAATGGTAACTTTCTGCTTCTAATCAAGATTCTGAACTCAGGTTTTTTTTTTAAAAAAATTTGATTTATATGCCGCCCTTCTCCGGAGACTCAGGTCGGCTTACAGTGCATTAAGCAATAGCCTTCATACTTTTGTATATTTTATACAAGGTCAGTTTATTGCCCCCCAAAAATGGGTCCTCAATTTACCTACCTTAGAAAGGATGGAAGTCTGAGTCAACCTTGAGCCTGGCAAGATTCGAACTTACTTTAATTGCAGACAGCTGGTGTTAAATTACAGTGCCTTGTCTGCAGAGCTATCCAGGCTCCAGCTTTTGTGAATCTCCTTCCATTTATATGTAGCATGCATTCTTCTGACTGTTCTTTTTGAAGCTTATGAACAGTTATAATTCTGGTTAGGGAAATTTAATAAAGTGCCTTCCACAAAACAGTTAATTGCCTTAGACTCAAAGTTATCACTGTATACAGCTCAATTTTGGTATGTATGCATATGCATTACAGGTGTGTACATATTTCATTTATATTGCAAATCAACTACATTTTCACAGCAGTCTATAACAATCATAACAATAAAACATCTATAATCTACAATCAAAATTTAAAATTCTGTAAAGATGTTACTAAAAATAATAAAAATAATCAGAACAAATTTAACAAACACACAGTAAAAATGCATACATTATATTGGTAACAATAATAACAAAGAGAAGGGGAGAGGACATGATAAAATATCTTCTAAATGCCTTTGGAAAAGCTAAAATATTCAGGAATATTTTAAAAAAAAGATGGACAAGACTTAATTCTATGGAAAGATTATTATACAGGGTAAACTCAGCCTTCCATCCTTCCGAGGTGGGTAAAGTGAGGACCCAGATTGTTGGGGGCAATATGCTATACTGTCTTTGGTATAAGCCGCCCAGAGTCCTCGGAGAGTGGTGGCATAGAAATATGAAAAATAAATAAATAAATAAATAAATAAATAAATAAATAAATAAATAAATAATAATCTATTCATTAAACCCTGATGAAAACTAATAATGGTTTAACTTTACGATGTTTGAATACATGGGGTTATTGTGTGAAATGAATGGCCCTAGTGATGCTCATATTCAATAATTTTTAAAAAGACTACTTCAACTCCTATAGGACAAAAATGATTAAGACTGAGATAATTAATTGGATTAGCCAGCACAATCATGATTTAATGAAAGATATGTGTTAGATTTTAATTAGAGATGATTCCTTACAAGTATTGTTAGAATCTGATGGCATCGTATTTGGAATACAAAAATGTATGTTTCATGATTCATTCATTAAGAGTACTAAAATTGTTTTTCACACTATAGACTATTTCCTGGACTTTATGAATCAAGAATAACACGTCTTCATTAGATCCTTGGAGAAACAGACCTATTCTCAGGATCTAAGTAACATGATGGTGTCCACAAAACAATCATGCCCTAATTTTCCAATTTGGAAAATGAATAGGTTTTATTACCTCTGAACCTCTGGATATTTGGGATTCTGGAAAGCAACAAATTAGAAAGACTTAATGGCAATAAAGAAAACTCTAAATACTGTATGAGATACTGATGTATATCATCAACCAACATGCTCAGAGAATGGGGCCATGGGTTCTATTGTAGGTCTATAAATGATTGTTGCATTTTCTATCTTTATTCTTCCATATATTTTTTTTGCTAATGAAGCAATAATGAGTATAGGTTTTATATTGATTCAAAAATTGTTATGAAGCCTGTAAGTTTTCTAATGAGGAAGAATACTAAGACCAGACAATGTTTCCAGTTCTTGTTAACAATACGATAAGCCCAAAAAGTTCTTTTATCAGTTCCTTCTTTTGTAATTTTAGAAAATGCAGATATAGAGGTTAGAATAAAAGTACTTATTCAAGAGAATAATTCCTTGTTACAAAAGTTAAAACTTGAACAAGCTTGATCAGCAACAAAAGATTGGCTCGCAATTTTGCAAGTAGCCATTTAAAGTATTTTTATTATATATTTTCTAAGTATTTTTTCTATAATACCAAAATATCATATAACACATTGTCATTTTATTTTACCAGAATTAAGCTACATGTCCATTTCTGCTAGGACATATTTGTGCTTTCAAAAAGCCTGGAAATGAAAAAGAAAAAAAGAAAGCTCTAGATAAAAATCTCAAAAAGTTAAATGAAATGTAAATAAACACATTAAAATTAATGGCAACCTATCAATTTCATGAAAGCAATAAAGCACTTTCATGAAAGTAGTGAAATTATTCTTGTCCCATATTCTGCATCCTCACACAATAAGATTGCTAAACTATATTTGGTTATATTTTGTTTCATTATCACAACAAATATATGAAGCAATGAAAACTGAAATATTTCAAAAGGGTTACTCAGAAAAACAGAAATCCAAATTTAAAACAATGGTCCGATTTTCAAGGACTTAGAACACAATTATATCACTTTTAATTAGCTTCCTGAAGTAACAGTATAGAGTTGGGAAGTTGCAGTTAAAATTAATAATCTTTAATTTCTGAATAATTTCAGAATTGGGATTTAAAGTTATGAGTTATAGAGCCAATTCAGAGAATCTCCATCTGTAAAATCTATATAAATCACCATAAGGTGAAGGTCTAGTATGAGGCCCAAACACACAAGAAAAGTAAGTTGACTACTTAGATAATGTATAAGGGATGAGATTCAAAGTAGCATCTGTGACAATGAGGCTAAGATAGCTTTAAAGCTTAATGCAATATACATTAAGGTGACCAGACGTCCCGCTTTTGGCGGGACAGTCCCGATTTTTAGCAATTTGTCCCGTGTCCCGCGGCGTTTCAAAAAAGTCCCGATTTTTCATTCTGCCTCCTCAATCCCGCTGCCTCTTGAGCCCCAGCTGATGGCTAGAAGAAAAAAAAACTGTTTAAACTCTTGCCCGGGGCTTCAAAGGTAAGGTGACCAGATTTTAACATTGGTAAAGAGGGACATTGTGGGCGTGGCTTATTTTGTGGGCGTGGCTAGCTGGTCACGTGACTGGGTGGGCGTGGCTAGCTGGTCACGTGACTGGGTGGGTGTGGCTAGCTGGTCATGTGACCGGGTGGCCATGGCTATGTGTATAGGGTAAGGTGAACAGATTTTAACATTGGTAAGAAGGACACCATTGTGGGCGTGACTTATTGTGTGGGCATGGCTTGGAGGCCATGTGACTGGGTAGGCGTGGCTAGCTGGTCATGTGACCGGGGGCCATGGCTATGTGATAGGGACTACTCAGAGGGCTGAAAAGTCATTCTGACAGGTCCTCACACTTATGACCATCCTCACATTTATGCCCGTGCAGTATTCTTAACAACCATGTCACTCATTTTACAACTGCTTCTCTTCATCATGATGACAAGATAGGGCAAAAATGTAAAATGTGAGGACAGTCGTCACACTTTTGACCAGTCCTCGAACTTACGACTGTCCTCACATTTTACATTTTTGCCCTATCTTGTCATCATGATGAAGAGAAGCAGTTGTGAAATGAGTGACATGTTGTTAAGAATACTGCACGGGCATAAATGTGAGGATGGTCATAAGTGTGAGGACCTGTCAGAAATGACTTTTCAGCCCTCTGAGTAGTCCCTATACACATAGCCATGGCCACCCGGTCACATGACCAGCTAGCCACGCCTACCCAGTCACATGGCCTCCAAGCCACGCCCACACAATAAGTCACGCCCACAATGGTGTCCTTCTTACCAATGTTAAAATCTGTTCACCTTACCCTATACACATAGCCATGGCCACCCGGTCACATGACCAGCTAGCCACACCCACCCAGTCACGTGACCAGCTAGCCACGCCCACCCAGTCACGTGACCAGCTAGCCACGCCCACAAAATAAGCCACGCCCACAATGTCCGTCTTTACCAATGTTAAAATCTGGTCACCTTAATATACATACAATTACCTAGTTCAAATACAGCTAAAAGGATTTGAAGATACAGTATGGAGACTACCTATGCTTGCTTAGTTTCTATAAAAACAAACTAGTTGCTTAGTGCCACCTATTAGTAAGTAACAATTATAACACCAGCTTAACCTGTCATTTCATTCTCCAGATTTTTGCTTTGTACTACATGGTTGTTTGCAGTTAAAATGAGGACCCAGATTGTTGGGGGCAATATGCTGGCTCTCTAAACCGCTTAGAGAGGGCTGTAAAGAACTATGAAGCGGCATATAAGTGCTACTGATATTTTTAACCTCCCAAAATAGAGTTATTTTGATGTTGTTCTAAGCAGTGGTGTTACAGCAGCATATCTTTATGAATTTTTAAATGACAGTAACAGGAATATACTGCATGCATAGTTAATTATTTGGTTTTTATATGTGAAACACCATGGATGCTTATATCGAAGTGGCACACTCTGGATTCAAGTTAAGACATGAGCATTACTTGTGCCCCTGAGCAGAATGCATTTAATTAATTCCAGCCTTGATTTGTTGGTCATTATGTTTGCCAATTTGGGTATCTTGAACTGCAGAATCATTCCAAAGATTACCAAGAAAATAGAGCAATGGATTCTTTTCATTCATCTAGAGCCAGACATGCTGCATAAAATGGCATTACATTATAATAGACTAATAGGAAAATCACTTACTTACAGGTGGCTGTGTGAAGAAATGATGAATGTGCACCAAAGGACAATGCACCAAGGACAAATGCAGTATACGTCTTTTGGTGAATCAACATAATTGAACAGTTCTGGACTGTTGGAATTCTACTGAAATTCTTGTGTCTTGTAACTCTGTGTCCAAACTGGCAACAGAACAAATGAACAGAGGTAAAAAAAGGCAAGGGAAATACACATGCCATATTGACCCAAGTGCATTTTTTCAGATTTAATTTTAGTTTAGTATGACCATCCCCTTGATTTGATCTTTCCACAAGCTCTATCCAGTACACAAACGATAAGTCTGGGAGAAATCAAACTGGCAAGCCAGAAGTGTATATAACATGAGGGGTGGGGGAATCTCAGTTTAACCAAGAACCAAATCCTGGGCTCTTCTAATAAGCTTAGAGGATAGGAAATGGTACGAATAGTACCATCTTTCCCCAATCTATTGGCATCCAGATGCACTGGCAGCTGTTGTTGTTGAGATTAAAATCCAACAATCAAAGAATATTTGATTGTGGAAGGCTGCTGTACTTAAGACTACTGAATATTTTCCCTTTTGGTCTTGGACTATGATCTCTTGAAAGTTTTCTTTTAGTAATAGAAAGGAAGTAGAAAGGAAAAATAGTCCAAATCACAGAGGATACATTATAGAGCGTGGATGCACCACCTTTTTGAGGCCAATGGGCATATTTGGATCCTGAATGGATAATTGAGAGCCTGTTGTCAAATATTGGAGGACAAGGGAGAAAAAGAATCCTGTTTAAACTTAAACTTAAACTGATGTTCTCTGTGTTTGATCGTTTCCATGCAGACATTATTACCAGATCAGGTAACATCCTCATGTTACTAAGTCTGTTTATAAACGGATGACATTATATAAATTAAATTAACAGCTAATAGATATTTAAGAATTTTCTATATCTTTTTGCAGAGCAATTGACTGCAGAGTTAAAATAAATGGAGACTGTTCCATTCATCTCTAGGCATTCTTATTTATACTTACTGCTATATTATTCATAATTTATTTGCTTCAGACAACACAAATCATGCTTTTAATAACAGTAATTGTATTTTGAAGCCAAATTGTTTTCATGAGCATCTATGTAGACCCAGACAATGGTGGAACATAACGGCTGCACTTTTTCTTTAATTTCATACATAGATATTAGCTGAGATTCCTAGGAATAAGAATGAAGAAAAGAAAAAGAGAAAGGAGACATCCATTGCAGACTTTAGCATAACCTTCAGCAGAGGATCCCAGATTTTTATTTTTTTAAGTTTTAAAAGTTTTCCACTTCTTCATTAAACAGGAAACACCATTTCCTAATTGGTTGATGTTGGCTCATTTCATACCAATGAGTTTAGCCTATCTAAATCCCCACAAAATAAAGCAGAATGTTATGAAATATTTAATTTTTTAAATTATATTTTACCTTTTCTCTAAGACAGAACTTTATGATGCATGGAGTTCATTTTCCAGAATGGTTGTCTGAGGAAGTCCATACTTGTTAAAGTTGCTGAGGTTGAGATGCACTGCTCTAGGAAGAAGACAAATAATCAAAAGAAGAAACCTTATTTCTTCTGAAATCTTATTTTCGTAAGAACAAACCTGTGAAGGAGATTAGGCAGAAGAAGAATAACAGGCTCAGAATTAAGTATTGCATTCCAAAGCAAAGTCCTTTGTTTTCTTTATATAGCAACACAAATAACCTTCCCTGGATTAAAACCCACCTCATATTGCCCATGGCATTTGAAATGATTAAACATTTTGATGTCAATTTGCCTTAAATTAGATAGTGCTTCATTTTAAAATGTTAGAGGTTAATTGAAATTCCTATATATTCTGAAAAGCCTTGCAAGATGAGATTAATTCCCAGGTTCAAAACTGGGCAGGACTTTTTTCCTAACTTTTTATTTTTATGAATTAAGACATCCTTATTTTGAAGATTAGCTTCACCTAACTGTTCTTTGCTTGAGTATTTTCAGAAACTATGGAATATAAAGGAGTAATTAGACCAGTCTGTTTCTACAGCACGTTCTGTCTGTTTCTTCTTTTCATTATTAGATTTGATGACACATTTGCCGGCGTGGCTTCCTGCAGATGGCACAGAAATTTTGCAATCAGCTATAGAGAGAAAACTGTCATTTTAAAATGCAACTTTGCAGTTTGTTTCTTTTCTTTAATTGATCCAATCTTACTTTTAAAAGGGGATTTTAAAAAAAGTTTTATTGGATTTTTATTTTTAAATATGCATCAATATCAATACATGAACAGTGTGGCCTCCGGGTATAATTCAATTTGATACAAACAGCAATAATACTAATACTAATAATACTAATAGTTACATTAATTAAATTTATATAATCCTAGTATTGATATACATGTTTGTTTTAGAGTATTTACTCAATATTTCAATGTTCCATTTTAATGCCAATGATATTATTAAGTGTACATAGTAATACCATTGTTCAACCTCTAATCTTTTCATCTAATTATTATTCTATTATATAAAAATTATATCTGCTAATATTCCTCCTATTTCTTATTTCTACCTCTATTCTAACTTCTAATCAGGCCACCATTACTAATTGTAGTGTTAGTATACATGTTTATATTAAGACATACAGTAGTCCTTCATTATTTGGTTGTTCAAAGTCACAATATGCCATTCAAGTACCAATCATCCTATTATTTAAACATACCTAATACCATCTTTCAACCTCCAATCTTTCCATCTAACTATTGCTTTATATAAAGATATGTATTCTTATTTCTACCTCTATTCTAGTTTTTAATCAGGCCACCATTATATTAGGGAAAAAAATAAAAAGAAAAAAATTCCTTTCTGTCCATCATCCCTTGTGTATTTTAATACTTCAATTCTTTTTTATTTTTTAGCTTCCCTCTCATATCCTCTCTTGGATCTTTGTCTCTATCAGCACCTGTGTCTTCACCATTCAGTCTGAGTATTTCTCCCATCTCTATCCTCCTAAGCTGCCAGGCCTCCAGAATGTTACCCAAATCCCTATCTCCCTTTTATAAGTATCTTCCAAGTTATCCAATTCCATTTTTAAATCTCTTAAAGTACTTTTCCCTTGGTTTATTTCGTTAGTCCTTATTATCTTTATCATCTTCTCCTTCTCATCTTCTTGCTTTCTTTTTTGGTTTGTCTGTTCTGTCTTTCCCTCCATTCTTTCTGCTGTCTCCTCTCTTTCCTGGACTCTTTGATCTTCATTCATTATTAGTTGTAGGATATTTTCTATTTTCCCATTTATGCCTTGCAATAGGTTTTTTATCTCTATGTGGTTCTTTATCATAGTATCCCTAATGCTTTGAAATATCAATGCCATTTCTTTTGAAATCTCACTCATTCCCGCAATGGAGTATCTTGTCTTATTTTAGTAAGTCCCGCTCTTACTCAATAATCCAAAAGCAATATATTCAAGTCCAATGTTGCTCCTCAGAAAGTTCAATAATCATAGTTCTTTACATCTCAGGATTATTAATCAGTTCCCTTTAAGTAGTCAGGCAGCTTCCACAATCAAAAGTCACTTTACTTAAGAGTCTTCCTTATTCTCATAACAAAATCTCCAAAATCTATCATAAAACAGATAGTTATAGAACAGTCCCCCACAGTTCTCCAGATGAATGTTGTTTATTTCTCTTATCAGGAATTTTCCCAAGCTTGTAAGTGTATGGTATATTTTCCATTCACCAGTAAATGGCGCCCTCAGTTTAGGTTTCAGCATTGTTTCAAGTCTGATAAATTGATTAATCCAATTTTAGTTCAATTTATAGAAACAAAGTAGGCTATTCAAGTAGATAGTTCCAGCATTTTATAATGCCTTTTGAAAACAACTCCTACCCGTTTAAAAATCCAATTTTCTATGTTTTAAAAGGTCTTTAACTTTTCTCCTCTTAGTTCTTTTCTTTCAGGTCTTGGATTTTTCTCTCTATGGTTGTTGGTCGCTTTAAGAAATAGTTCTAAGAGTCTCTTTTCCTGGATTTCTTTTTTTTTCCTTTTAAAGTTAGCGTCTAAATAAAAAAAGAATCTTCTCACCCAGCTCCAGTCACAGTTCATCTACACTGCTCCTGCATATTTCTTTGTTGCTTCGGCTGTGTCCCAGCTTCATGGCAGCCATGATGGCTGCCTCTTCTCCTTGTCGTGGATGAGGAGGAAGAAGCCCTGGGTCAAGCAGGAGAGTTGCTGCTCTCTGCGACTGCAGGACACTCCTCTTTTCTCCACCACCCCTGCAAGGTTGTTTTAGCTCCTTTAGGAGCCTTCTAATGGGGAGAACTTGGCATGGGAGCGTAGAGACCCCCTCCTAGTGTCCAATCTCACAGCAACGTCAGCCAGAAGTCCCGGGTTTTTTAAAAAAACAGGTTTGTAACAAGGAAAGATATGAAGTTGAAAAAAATTGTCTAAAAAGAAAAATGGTGGCTGAGAAATCGATACAATATGATCCTCTGCTTTGATCAGAACAGAAGCTGACCTACTGAGATGGCTAAAATGTTCAGAGCCAGCAAAGATCCAGGGCAGATTCCAATGTTTTATTAATCTGGATCAAGAGAGTTTGCTTTTTCTAATATGGATGTATACCCCAGTAGAAATCTGGATCATTACCATCATTATCGTCATTTATACCCCAGTTTTTTACATGTAGCTTTTCCTATCATGTGGATCTTTTGAATACAACCTTCTCAAGTATATTCAGTTGTTATCTAAATTCTTTGACTCCAAAAAAACAAACAAATAACCCGCACACATTTCCTTGATATTTATATAGGAATCTGCAGTCCATACTTTTTAGAATATGACTAGACAACCCATATGTCTTTGGATCATCATTTCCATTGTGTTATCATTTTAGAGACATTTCCTTGCCCAAGCAGATCAACAGAATGGCCACGGGCAAGCAAGAAAGCAATGGAAGTGAGAGTGATTTCTGATTTCCAACTGGCAGTCCCACTGACTTTGTTTGTGGAAAGCTTGCAGGAAGAGTCAGTGGGGAAGCTGTCAGGGTAAGTCTCAAGTTGCTTGTGTAAGTCCCCACTTTGCACTCCCTCCCTCAGGCCCTCTGCACTCATAGTGCACCATTCATGTGCCCTGAGCATCCTCCCTGACCTGCACCTTCCCAACCTGTGCTGCATCCCTGACCTTTGCTGTACTGACCTGGCACACTCTTATCTATCCACCCTGACCCATCCTGTGCCTACATGTATCCTCATGCTGTGTCTGTGACCCTGAATCTTGTTGCATCTCTTATGCACCCCCTTGCTCCCTTCCCTACCCATCAGCAGCCACTTAGTGCTGAATTTGATTGTTCTTTTCAAGACATTTGATTACCAAATTAGGTAATATTATCAATGTCAGCACTGATGATGTTGCTCAGTTTAGTAATGAAACATCTGCAAGAAAACCAAGCTCAGAGAGCCTCAAGGACCCCACATTCCAACCCTGATCTACAAATATTCTTTCTATTGGTATCAGCCACTTACCTGCCTGCTGGCCTTTTTGACTTGCAATTTCCTCCTGGATTCGCCACTGACTTTGCAGGGAAGCTGGCATAAGCAAAGATGCTTAGATTAAACTCAAGTTTAGACTTCCTATCAGCATCCCCATTGACTTGTGGGAAGCTCACATGAGCACAGTTTATTGCAAAAGTGTTGTGGTGCAGCAGTGGCCTTTTCAAGTTTTGTCCAATTGAAGGTTACAAACAGACACAGGTGTTTTAGTAATATATTGGGGGTCGGGTTTCTAGTATAACCCAAAGGTGCTTTTTTCAAAAGGCAACTTGACTTTCTTTATTTTTGCTTGAAGACATTTTGCTTCTCATCCAAGAAGCTTCTTCAGTTCTGAACTTTCTTGGATGAGAAGCAAAATGTCTTCAAATTAAAAAAAAAAATGAAGTCGTCTTTTGAAAAAAAGCACTTTTGAGGCAACCATGACCTGGATGACTGAGAGTTTCCATAGATACTTCTAGTGTAACCTATTTCTTTCCCCTTTTAAAATGTAACTGTTATTTGGTTTCTAATGAATTGTATATTTTATATATTCCTGAACTGCTATCTCATGTGAAAAAGAAGAATTACAAAGGAAGAACAGAAAAACACAGCCATTCATTAGCATCTGTTACTTTCAGGGACCTATGTATATATATAAAATATGTGCAGCTGTGTTGCACTGAACATTCCCAGTGGGAAAATTAAGCTTTGGGGTCATTTAACCTTCTTGGCTTTTGAATTTAGGGAATAAGCTCTTTCCAAATTAAATTCTTTCTAGTTTGGAGAGATAGTTTGCCTAGGATTCATTTTTCTGTTCACCTTTAAGTGTATTTGTGTTATGTATTTGTTTTATTCCTCAAGTACATCATCACTGCTCATTTTGTTTGCTCATCTACCTAAGTTCCTGCGGTGCTGAATTATGAGTAATTACTGATATCCTGTAGCCATATACTAGGTAGACATTTGGAGCTGTGTGTATGCAATGGGGGACGGAGGGTCAGTATATCTGTGCATGCATAATGTGGAGAGGGG